ATTCGGATGTAACTCGTTGAGGGGAACGTTTTCGACTTCAATGAAATTTTTACAAAAATGCTTGGAAAATGGATTTTTTCCCGTTTTCACGTCATTTTCAGTTTTTTGCATTTTGCGGCCAAACGGTGAGCCACGTGTCTCCGGTTTTTTTGCAGCATGCCATAGAACTTGTTTGGGGGAACATTTTTGATACAAATGAAGTTTCCTGAAAAGTGCCTGCAAGATGTATTTTTTCAAGTTTTATGGTTTTTTTCAATTTTTTGGAAAAAAATTCCGAATGATGTTAATATTTTTCTAGCGGGATCTAATAGAACACGTTAAAAGACACATTTTTTATTCCATAACGATTTTTCCAGGATGTCTGTGAAACGACCTGGACGATGAAATCTTTGCCATGTTTTTCTGAAGAAAAAATCTGAACGACTCAAATTTTTCAACGGCATCTTATAGGAAACGTCAGGGAGAACGTTTTTATCTTCTATAAAAATTTTCCATAAAAGCTCGGAAAATGCATTTTTTGCCAATTTTTCGAATTCATTTCTAAAAAATTGTAAAAAAATCGGTCAAAAAATAATTTAACAGAAAAACTACCCCGAGCAACGCAAGTACGTTTGATAGTTTTGCATCGTTAGAAACCAAAAGCAAGTCTGTAAATTGCATTTTGAGTGACATACAGGATGCTAAAGTTGGCACTATTTCACGGCCGAACGAATGACTTTGAGAAACTCTTTCTATAACAGGCAGGTGCGGCTGAACACGTTCTATTTGATGATATATTTGTTTGTTCTTTACGCCTCACACAGCCCGATTTAAATCCAAAATAAAATGCAAGTTAAATCATGGACGTAATTCCCGTGGATTTATAGCGATTTCAACTTAGCCTCAGGCGACCCATGTATAGGTGTGGTTGATTCATTAATATCTATACGAAACATACGTTTTAGAGAGAAATGTATTCAGACATAAATGTAGATATGTTAGTTAACAATATTTTTTCCAAGTAACTTTTTCCTCTAACCGCAACCGTTTGGCAACTAGGGCCAAATAATCGAAAAGCTGAAGATGAAAATAAAAGCTGAAAAAATCAATTTAACGGAAAAATTTTTATACAGATCGAAAGATCTCGTCGAGATACATCTTCCCGAATATTTACATCTTGTCATGTCACGTATGATAATTTTTTTTCCGACACGCCTAAACTTTTTTTTTGGTTTTCGACTCTTAAAAAAAAAAACTTGTCAAGACAATTGAAAAAAGCGTCTAAACAAGAGTTGTAGCTTGTATTGAAACCTACAATTCAGAATTAAAACTAACCCTCCAAGTCAAACGGTTTCGCCGCCAGCGCCTCTCGAGTGAGACCATGTTGAGCGTTTTTTTTCGAAAATTTTCGCACTTTTAACCGGCTGTGGAGAAAAAACTATATGTTCGATTCGTCCCAAAAATTTGTTTTGGATGCACCAGACTTGAAAGAACATTTTCACTCGATATAACGAAATCAATCCAAGCAGTCCTTCAATAATTCTATAACTTTTTGTAAAATGCATTTTTTTTAACTTTTTAAATACGGGTCGTACAAAAAAATTTATTCGTGATAAAATGTGCGCCCGGGTCCAAAAAGCTTATAAACAAAATTTGAGGCACGACTTTATGGGAAAAATTTTGAGAAAAACGTAAAATTCAGTTTTTCGGCCATAATTATTGAAATACACAATAAAACTTTCTGGTTCAAAAATTTTAGATAGTCCCAAACATTCTCTAGGTGCTGTGCAAATTTCATGAAAATCGGACTGTTGGTTCAAAAGATTTGATATTTTGAAAAAAAGCGCCGGATTTCAGGGAAAAGTTTCTGGCCAGGATGTCAGGATCCGCCTATATAGGAAATCACGAGTTCTGAAAAAAAGTGCCCCCTTGGGGTTTTACCTGACTAAAGCGAAAGAAAATCCTCGCCTTCTACGCGATGGCGAGGACTAAGACCAAGTTTTTAATTCACATTTCGCGGGCTTACGCCCGCGAAATTTGCTCGAGTTCTCCGCATTGAACCAGAGGCGCCTTTCCTCGCTGACGGCATGGCGCCTTTCCTCGCTGACGGCATGATGCCCGACGGTGCCTATGGAGAAGCAAAACGCTCCCTCCGTAGGGAGATAGCCACCCGTGTTGCGGCGACGGCCGTTAACAACGCGGTCCTCTCAACCCCGCCACCACCGATTGCAGTAGAAGAGGCCTCGCTCCCTCGTCCTTACCGCTCAGCGCTATCCCAGCTATGCCCGGGATATTGCAGCTCCCTTGCGTCCTACACCCACAGGGTCGGTCGCTCCCTTAGCGCCGCTTGCCCGGACTGCGGGGATCCCCTCCAATCCGTCCAGCACCTCTTTGCCTGCCCCGCCTTCCCCACGCCCCTCAGCGCCTCATCATTGTGGGACAACCCCGTGGAGGCGTCGACGTTCCTTGCCACCCTCCCTGCTTTCGCCCACCTTCCTCCTCTTCCGGTGCTGCCCCTCCGACCGCTACAAGAGCCTCCGCCCACGCGAGCGTGACGTTTGGCGCAAGAAACAACAACAACAAACCAGAGGTTATCTGGTTTCATCCAGATCTCTGCAGCGCTCTCGGCGGACAGTCTTTATGGAATTTGGGTTCTGTTGTTGTCCATTGAGGTCTGCAGTAATTTTAACAGTCGTGGTCTTTCGAATGTTCTTCACAATTCGATTTAGGAATCGACGTCCATCACACACAACTTCAACTTTCGGCCAAACCTGTGCTTTGCTGAGTACGTTTTTCCTTCTCTTTCAAAAGCAATCATCACTTTTGAGACAGTACTTCTAGAAACGTCAAGCATTCGGGAAGTTTCTGTCACACTGGCACCTGCCATCAGAATGGCACCTGCCGTCTCTAGAAACGTCAAGCATTCGGGAAGTTTCTGTCACACTAGCACCTGCTATACGGGCACCGACAATTTGGCCTTTTTGAACGTCAGAAAGGTTTGCCTCTATAGGTTATAGGTTAGCTAATAGACACAAAAATTTACCGAAAATATCTGTGCGAGAATAAAATATCAATTAGCAGCAATAATAAACAATAAAACGTAAAATTACGTACGTCACGTTTTCATTGTTTATAACATGATAAAAAATTAAGATATCAAAATGTCAGGCGTTTTCATTATTTCGACCAACCCATGTAGATATCACTCAGTTCAGCAAGCCAATTGACACCTGACCCAGTCCAGGGTACACGAATTAGTTATTTATTTACTGGTTGTTACTTGTAAATCACACTACCTGATATTCAAATACGAATAGCATTGACGACAGTATATGTATTCGTAGAAGATCGGTTTTATTATCACACACTGACGATAGATGAACAGTTGAGAATGTAGTAAAAGTTAGTCTATTGACAATAACTGTACACGTACGGAGCTGAACTACCAAACCTCACTCTAAGTACATAAAGTGGCCGATTTCTCACATTTGATTTGTGGGTTGAGCTCATAAAGCCGTCAGTAATTTGCTGACGGAGGTACAAACTTGTATCAACTATGTTCAGTAATACGACCCCTGGTTAAAAAAGTATCTCCTGGCAACTCACGTTAGGCGTGCCAGGTGTGTTGGTCACGGAGTCGAGACTGTCGGAGAATCCGCGAGTTTTGGCAGGCGACTCTTCGCCAGCACTTGTCATCACCTCCAGGCTCTCTGGGATCACCAAAGTCTGAAAAAGTTTCAATCTAAGTAAAAATAATGTCGTAAAAATGTAACATACGAGAGTTTCAAGTATCCATTCAGAACAGTGAGAATTGTGATAGTATCAAGTGACTGTTACAGTTATTAAATTAAAGAGGTTACTAAAATACTTCTGCATAAGTCAAATGCAGCAGATTATTGTTGTTATGCGCAGCAAGCTAGGAAAGGAGGTCATCGGATCAGCCTAGCCACGTAGCAAGTTAAAAGAAAGGTATTCAGATCAAGCTTGGTAAGAAGCAAGTTAGCAAATGAGGTATCCAGTCCTGACCGGACGTGAAGCAGGTTTGTAAGTATTAAGTCAGTCTTAGCAAGTTGTGAAGCAAGTTATCAATAGAGGTAGTCAGACCTGGCTGGGCATGAGGGTCTAGTACTGGCGCATGGGTATCTGCAATCAGTTATACGGAAAGATTTCGGTGTAATTTTGTCAACCTCATCCTGTTACTAGTGTCAAAATGTTAGTTACCAGAGGTGGGCAGTAGCGCGCTTCATGTAGCGGCCCCTACATATTCGGTAGCGGTAGCGGCGCTACATTTAAGCAATTGTAGCGGTAGCGGGCGCTACATCTAGAGCATGTAGCGGTAGCGACCGCTACATTTCAAAGTAGCGCTGCCCAGCTCTGCATAAATGTATGATGGTAAGTTTACACCACATCAATAATTAATTGATTCGTCTCGTTATGTCTCGTTAAAATGGCTATAAATTCCGGGAAATTTCAAGGTCCCTATTTTAACCGGGATGTCTCGTCTCGGTATCGTCCCGGAATTCCTACAGAGGGCTGAAAATTGTCCCGGTTTTTATTGCGAACCGGGACAGAGCCTGTTGTCTCGTCTCGTCTCGGATAAACAAAAATACCAAACGCAGGAGTCTAGTTATAATCAAGTCAGACCTGGTTCGGCATGATGGTCTCGTACTGGTGCTTGAGGGTCTGCAACTCGAAGACGTAGTTAAGCAGGACGGTGCGTAGTTCGTACATCACCACCAAGTCACTGCGCAGCTCGTTGAAGTCCGAGCACAGCTCTTCTAAAGGCATTGGGTTATGATCTGCAATAGTAATAGTGGTGTTAGCGGTCAATAGGTACGACATGAAAAGTCACCAATTCTATACATCACAGAATTTATACAGCTTTCTGTGGCTTTTGGGCTTGCAATTTGTTATTCCCATCTTAATATTCCGAAGTCTAACCACTCGTGGTTACAGTTCAGAACCACTGTAACCAGTCAAGGTTGCAGTTCAGAACCTAACAACTCGAGGTTACAGTTCAGAACCACTGTAACCAGTCAAGGTTGCAGTTCAGAGCTTCAGTGCACATCTTTTGCGCTAATATAGTAACATTTATCCAGTTATCAATATTTATCGGTTATAATGACATAATACGGATCAATTTTAATGTTACTAACAACAGTAATATTGTCAGAGATATAAGATGTAAAAATATACATTAATATCATCAAAATTGTTTGGAAGTGATAATAATACTACAACTTAAATAACATTAGAATATCAGGAGTAAAATGTACAACATCACCTCAGATGTTTAAAGATTATTTCATGCTTCAAATTAATTTCACGAATTCATGTTCCAAGATTAATGCGGCCATTTGGGTGTGATAGCAATTGACAGCCCTAAACCTGTCAAAGCCATGCTTGCAATACAATGAAATGTGAAAAAGTAAATTTCCACAAGATCCTCGTAAACAACCTATGTTGAGTTCAGTAAGAAGATGCTCGATAGCTTTGAGTTTCTTGAGCCCCAGCGACGCTGGCAGCTTTAGTGTATGTGAGCGCAGCGCGACGCCCGAGCTGCGCAGCTCAGGGAACCGTATGCCGTCAGTCGTGCCCGAGGCACCGTGGAGAGCGGATGTGCCGCTGCCGCTCGAGCTGTTCGTCTGAATGGAAAACATAAAAGTAAGCCTGTGTCGAATAACAACAACTTTAGTCTGGATAAAAACATCAAATAATTGGCGTGAAATGATTCCACGTTCGCCACAGTGCCATCAACCACACTCACCAAGCCGTCTTGTTCACATTTTATCGTTGATACAAAACTTTTTTTTGCAAAAAAACAAATGGAATTTTTCCAGTACAACTGAGGCAACTAACACTCACCAAGCTGTCCTGTTTGCCGAGTTTATTGAGGCCCACACCGACGCCCCCCGTGGACATCCTCTTCTTGTACTGCTTGCTCTGACGGCGCGCTGAGGGGGTAGAGTCTCCCCCTGCAGCAGACTCCCCCCCACCCCCCGCTATTAGTTTCTGCAGGTCTTGGGTCTTCCTTTCCCTCTCTTTCTTCCGGGCGTCAATACGTCGCATCTCACTCAGCAGCTGCTGTTCTTCTTCGATCTGAAATATAGTAAACATTGAGAATTTAAAAAACTAAGAAAACGCCTATGTGAATTCACAATACCATATCTTCATGGTTCGTGGAGTATACTCGTACCATTAGTCTGCACAAATCAAAGGTTCACCAAGAACATAAAAGCAAAGAGACCGCCAAGTATATTCACCTTTGGCGTTTTCATGAACCATGAAAACTCTAGTGTATTTACTTGGGGTTTATTTGCTTTTAAGTTCTTGTTGAACTTGCAATTTAAGCAGTCTAATCACATAGGTACTTATGATGAACATTGTTATAAATTATGAATATATATTGATACATCCTAGATTCTTCAACATTCTGGGCTTAGTCAACAGCAAGCTTTTATTAGATAATATCCATTTTGCCAGTTTTACCTAATTTTTCCGAATACATTTTTCAGCTCAAACAGCATCTTAAGGAGGATAATTCACTAAACAGCAGTTTTCTTGTATTTTTCCATTTAAACTGGAATAATGTATCAGTAAACTGGAATGTTTAACAGTTAATAACAGGCATAACGACATAAGAAGATAGAAACTTGAATTGTTCTGGCTTTAAAATTGTCGGATACAAACTTTTTATACTACGTAAGAAACACAAATGACAACTGCTGAATTGTGACGGTTGAAATCTAGTGGCCAACAACTTGAAGTTTTTTCCTGAAAAATACAATACGCCATTACGCCTCAACGTGATTGTGGTCCCGAATCATTAAAACCATTACCCTTTATTAATGTATGCCGTCGCAGTCGATCAGGACAATGCCTCTTAATGGTATTAAAACTAGCATTTAACCCACACAAACTAGCAATAATTCCACACTCAAAGAAATATGAGAGACTGTCCAAATAGCATTGCACTTTTTGCACTAGTGTGGGCCATCCTGACCCAGTTTAGCCAGGCAAAAGAGCGTTCATCTGCTGCATCCGCTCTTTGCTTGTGCTACGGTTAAAAAGTAAGTCACTATTCAGACAACTTGAGCAATTCATTTTTATAAGTGCAGCAGTCTAAAAATCAAGTTATTCCTATTCCCAGTCCCATTGGGAACCCGAATTCTAGGTAATATCCTACCATTATAAATATTGTTAGTACGCGCTCAATCAGTGAATATATATTTCAAGTGTCACACTTCAAATGCACACTAATAAAAAGCATGGGTAATATTGTCCAAATAGTGAAACACTCTCTTACCAACAGCACAAGCAAAGTGCAAACGTACGTAGTCACTAGTGTTGAAACCGGTATGCACCTTTTGCTGGACTAAACAGTGTCATGAAGACGAACATACGAGCAAAAACTGCATCATTATTTGGACAATGACCATCTCATTTCTATGAGTGCACACAAAACAGTTGCTTGGCTAGGTACCTGTTTAGGAGTTCTATCCCACAGTCTGGTGAGTTGCAGCTTCCGCCTCCTCTCCAAGTCAGCATCGTAGTGGACAATTTTGCCTTCAGCTCCTGTCAGTCTGCGCACCTGGATGCATATAAATATTTCAGGATATTTTTTTTTGCGTCAAATTGACTACCTATACAACCATTGGAGGATTAAATGATTAAGGAAATTGAAACAAATTCTATTTTTTTTCATGGGAAAAAGACGATTATGGTGTAGGAAAACTAAATAATACTTATATTAACTAGTTATTAGGGATAGGGTTTATGATAATACAATAAATCCAGTACCTCAGCTATCTGCCATACTGCATTGAATCTGATTTAAATAACACTAACAGGGCAACAGCCCAGTCAATTTATGATAAAGAAGACCATGAACGTGTACAGTAAGAAAAAAACTTACCTTCTTAAGGGTATTAGTGATAAAATAATATCTTTCTTTGATGTCTTCCATGGAGCGGGCCATGGAATCACTTTGTTGATCAGTCCACGAGTCCTCAGTTGAATTTCTTGGCCACCTGTCATGAATGACTGGCCAGCGCAGGTCAAATTGCTGACATAATTCCATTAATTTGTCTGAGTCAGAACGACTCCATGTATCTGACACAAGGTGATCTCGGTATTCGGAATCTGTGTACTGCAGAACATCAACGTGCTGGAAAAAGTTTTAATGTTTTGTGACATAATGAAGCATGTTACAAAATAATGTAGTAGCAAAATTAATTTTACAATAGAATAGAAGTATTGAAATTCAAACCTTAAAAATATGGATGCCTTCATTCTAGGCTATAATAATGCCATTCATTTTAAATTTTAATATACTAGATATGGTACCTAATATAAATAATAATTTTTCTTAAAAAAACATTTTTTATTTAGAAAAATGTTCATGCTTCATGTACTTTGCTCCCTTAGAGGAATAACGATTTCAGAAGAATACAAATACACTCATATAAATCTATAAAATAACTTATATATTGATTTTATATCTATAAAATATATTTATAAATATAAAAGATTATTAACCTTGTTGAACTGTGCAAAGGGATATTCTTTGCCCTGATCAGCAACTCTGCGCCAGTGATAGAGAAGAGCTCCATCTTTACGAGCAGGATTGCAGAATTGCACCCATGCCCACGGACGAACTCGTCGCATACCCAGCCGAGCTTTGGTTCTCTTATAGCCTTGCTGGGGCACTGCACAGTACAAAAAAAATAACCATGTTTCTCATACAAATTACACAAATTACACAAATTAACAAAAATGAAAGTAATGAAACTAGTTTGAGAACACAAATTACTGTAAATAATCAGCTTCTGTACACTAGCAATGTTTCAGGTTTCAATTTAGTCTAATATTTATTGAACATTCATCTAAATTCAGAATACATTTTTTACAAATGTTGCAGAACAGATGTTGAATTTTCTATAATAAATGTGTATCACATTCCTACTGCACCTAAATATACTTGTTCTACACACTGAGAGAAATGTGTACATCTGTATGATTCACTAAGATGAGTTAACCACATCCAGATAGCAAACTTTAAGGGTAAGCATGACTCAAAAATGGGGCAAGTGAGTAAAAAAATTGCATTGATATTGGGATGTGATTGACTCATGTAAGTGGGTCAGCCAGACCCACTCATTTTTCTCAGTACATTATTCAAGTTGAAGGATATTCACACAAGATAAACAGTACATTATACCTCATTTTGAGTCCCAAAGTACTTGCAATAAATATGTTAGCTTCATTGCTGGTAAATACATGAAATATCAAAGGCAGTGAAATGCACATTAAACATGTTAAGTGCGGTGGTCAAAACTGCCGACTGCCCGCTGGTGCGGCTGTTTGATTGGTAAATTAAAGCTTTGCAACTGGAAATTATAAATATGTTGTAATTGTAATTGATACTTAAATTAAAGTAAAACTCATTTTCTATTAAATTTCAAACCTTTGTTCATGCCATCAACATGACTGTGCTATAACTTCCAATTATATAATTTTTGCTCATATAAAAGTATTCAATATTTTTATGAATGACCCACTGGTGGGTCGTTTCGCACCAGATGGAAATCAGCGACGACCCACGTGTAGGTTGTATTGCACTTAACGTGTTAAGAATTCCAGTTTTATAACAGACTTTTATAATTAGAGATCAAAGTTTTACAACTCACTTGAATCAGTTTGCAGCAGTGGAGGCAGTTCTTTGTTGCCATCAGAAGAATAAAGTAAAGCAAATAGCTCACGATGCATGCCCTCAGGCCTCCTCATCACGTCTTTTTCCTTCTTCTTAACAGGTACTGCATTGCTACGGAGTCCTAATATTGCTGCTTTACTGATTTCAGGGGAGTTAGGCCGCTCTAACTCTAAAATGTCATGAACATCTGACATTTTGGAAACCTTTACAAAAAGCACTTCTGCTATTAAATCTGAAAAATATGAAAAAATAAGATTAAGAGGAAAAATACATGTTAAACACTCCAACAGGACCTCAGGCAACATAACAATCTAGAGAATAAAAGTGGTACTTAAATGTGAACAATTATATCAAGTGGACAAGTAGTGGAAATTATTCAATTTTCCAATACTTACAAAACTCACATCATAACACAGAAATATCTATAGCAAAGTTAAGCAATTTGACTTGGCAATGACTTATCAATTTGAAAGGCAATGAATTGGCATCCTTGATACATCAGACTGGTTTGTATTTAGTATGTACATACTAAGTAATTTGACTGAAAAAAAATATAAAAATTAGTACAACAAATATATGGGTTTATAAATGATTTTTGCCTTTTATGGCAGATTGATAATTTGAGATTCACCTGTGCCTATGACTTGTGTCAGAGACAGTAACAGACCCACAGGTTGACTCCTGGTTGAGGTTGAGACATTAGATGATTTTCCCAGCACAGGCCACAATTTTAGCTACCTTGATGAAAATTCTTTACACAGATAGTTCATCTTTCTGCCAGCTATTCTGCAACACATTCAAGAAAAGGATTGCAGATCTTGATTCACTACTTCAATAGTCCAGACTGTAAAGAATGGCATAACATAGGTTAAGGATGCCAAATTCGTTACCTTAAACTTGACCCTTTACCATCAAGATCTGCATATGTTACCTATATATAAAACAGGCATTTTTTATTGATGTATTTACACATACAAGGGTTAGAAAAAAAATAAAGAAAATGTCTGAAAAATCTACAAAATAGTATGGTGCATGGTGTATATAGTAAGTATGGTGTATATAGTATTTTAATATGGTGTAGGTCCACCTTTTATGTCAATTACATCCTCAAATTTATATTAGTGTTGTTAAGCAGAAAAAAATTTCTAATAGTGGGACTCAAAAATGAACTTGTGGCCAGGGTGCAGAAAGTGGTTGAATATCAAAAGATCATGGTGACAAAATTTATGCCTTCAGAAGATCTTGCCAACACATTTGTATTGAAATTATTGCATTTTAGAAATTACTTTGAAATTATTGCAAATCTGGAAGACTGCAAGGGCACACAGTAAGGTTTCCGTTACGTCAGATGGATCAGGATGCAGTGAAGCTTGTCTGGAAATCAGTTTCAATGATGCAGTGCATGGAGAGTAAGGGATATAGGTACATTTGGAAGTTGTTCGCAGCACTTTCTTATTAAAAATTACCCGGTGACTCATCTTGAAAAAGGCTGGCGATTCTTTGGACTAAAAATCCATGTACATTGGCAATGCTGCTAGCACCCTCTGCACGCTGGACTTGTGGGAGGGCAACAGAAAAAGGTTCTCCTTTGTCACTGCATGTATTTACTCATCAACTGTGCAGTGGCTGAATGAATGGCTTTGATGTTTTTACAACCATTTTGTCATTGGGTTTTCCATGAATATTTTCCAGGATCTGGCATCATAACTCATACATTACTAAAAGTGACCAAACTCATATAATGTATTCACTTCTCAACTGTACAGTGGCTGTATGAATGGTTTCAATGTTAGTACAAATGTTTTGGCATTGTATTTTATGTTAATTACTCTCACAATACAGCATCATATATCACTTAACTCATTATCTCATATACGTAATGTATTCACTTCTAAACTGTTAATGTGCAGTGGCTGTAGCTGTATGAATATTGAATAGTATCGATGTTTGTACAACCATTTTGGCATTGGGTTTTCCAGTTCAATAACTTTCATGATCTTGCATCATGGAAGCCTGATAAAGCCCTAATTTGCAGATCATTTGCCAAATAAATAGAGAAAATTAATAAGAAAACCATCAATAATATATACTCTCTGTCTCTGGTCTTCAATTAAACTTATATACGGTATATAAATATATAGAGATATATTTCAAATTATCCAGACTATGATTTTTTGTACAATTGTACCAATTGTCCTGATGATCTTTATAAAATTAAAAAAAAGTAAAAAGATCTTGACCTGCCTGGACCTAACCCCTGTAGGCTGTAGAAAGGTATCAGGAGTCTAGCAACCTAAAGAAGTTTTATACAAACCTAAATGGCCATAGTGGCCAAAAGCAGAGTTTTTAGGCTCTCCCTCAAGTTCATTTTCAAGTCCAATAAGTAGGACAGTGAAGTATCATAGCAATTGTGGAAAACCTCTACTTTTAGGCTTTAGGGCCGCAACTAGAGCTTTCCTACCATTTCCAGGACTACAAGATTGCCACCAGACAAATTATCTTCTATGTTCTATCTAACTGTTAACATAAGTGCATGATCAACAGGGTTGGCGATTTTTTTGATTTTTTAAAAAAATAAAAAAAATCAAAAATCAATTATTTTTTTGATTTTTTCATGATTTCTTTGATTTATTTGATTTTTTTTTTATTTTTCCAAGTTTTTTGTATTTTTGAGGTGTTATTTTTTATGTTGCAATTAGCCTACTAACAATAACAGTATATGGATCATAATGGATGGCTAATAAGGGCACTTATTGCCTTCAATAATGGCCAACAGGCCAAGGTAGTGTTCACCACTTAGGGATTTTTGGGTAAACAATTATTGATAAGTCTATTCATTAGCTTTGTAAAGTTTGTATGGAGCAAGGTAATGAGCTAAATATTGACCATTTAACTGGCTTCAACATACAAAAACCCTTCAGGAATGCAGATCTCCCAAACATTGAAGAGTCACATAACAGATAGGTAGCTGATACCACAGTGCACAGCACTATCAATAGATCTACTAGTTTTATGTCCTATAAATCTACCAGACTCTACCTTCTATACACACCGATTAGTAGTGACTGAGTGGCTGACTGCACTGTTCCCATTCAATTCAGACCAATAAACCAATACTAAACATAAACTGAACGATAAACAAACAAACCTCATACGACTTGAAACGAGACTTAAGTTATGAGAAAAGCTAACACTGTTTGAAATAAACATGTGCACAATTCAAATATTTTATATCCATTCACTGCATTTAATAATTGTTTAATATATAGTCTTATAATTGTAATTATTTTGTTTCTAGTTTTAAATTCACATATTTAAAGATTGAAATTAAATATTTTAATTAGAATACTCGTATTAGGGTGGAAAATCTTTCTAATTGCCTAAAAGGTCAATACAATCTCAACCTTTCAATATACAGGGTGGAGCAGAACCGATTGAACTGTTTTGAGGTAAGGTAAAATAAAAGAGTAATGGAGGTACATAAAGAAGAAAGTTTATTTTCCTAGAGGTTAGCATAACATACCATTTAGAATACTTATGTTTTGAAAACAATATCTGGAAGATGGAGGCCGTTAGCTGTAACACACTGTTGGAGTTGTTCTCAGAGGAGGGAGTAACCATAACAGTGAATTCCGATCGCTATGCTGCAATGTTGCAAAATTTCTTATAGCCCATGAGGGAAAACATTGTTGAAAATGAAGCATTGGGAGACGTTTGGTTCCAGCAGGATGGGGCTACAGCTCACACAGCCCGAATGTCACTCAATGTTTTGAAACGCATGTTCCCAGACTCTGAGGGGTGATTTACAGTGGCCTGCAAGGTCACCTGATTTGAGCATTTGCGATTTCTTTCTTTGGGGACATCTAAAATATAGTACATTTATACTAAACCATGAATAACAATACCTCAATATAAATTAAAGACTGCCACTCAATATATTTAAATTTATGAAAAAATAAAAAAAAATCAAAAAAATCGAAAAAATAAAAAAAATCATGATTTTTTTATAAAAAAATCAAGTGATTTAATCACATGATTTAATCATTGCCAACCCTGATGATCAAGCTGCAAGATTCCAATTGTATTAAAAATTTGTCACATTGGGGCCATGAGATTTCAGAAACAAGTAGGAAAATTCCAATCCTGTATCATTCAGATATACAATTATTACATACCAACATTATCATACATTAGATATTGGTTCAAATCTTGAGTAGATGAGGAAATTAAAAATGAACTGATTCTAAAAAATTTCTGGTTTACCACTAGCACGCTGCATCTATCGCTCTATGCCTAACCCCAAGTTGCGCAAGCCTTAACTATTACCCGGCCAACCTAACAACTTACGAGGTTGGCATTTTTTAGGCTATAATACCAACTATTGAATTAATTATGCACACAGCTATTTTTTCCTAATAATTGTGAGGCTATGGTTGAAAACAGACCTCCCAGGCTCCCAGTCAAAAATGGAAATTGCTAATATATTCAACAAAATTATGTGGTTCCAAGTCAACTTCCAACTTTGTTGTTGTTGTTGTCACTATTGGCTGGCTTGAAGGTAAAGACCAACTTCTAAAATCACATAATTTATCAGAATTTGTAATTTTAAGGCTCCTAAATAACATATACAATTTCAATCAAAAATATGGAGTCAATCAATTGATTGCAAATATGCAATTTGGCTCTAAAAACTACAATTATACATGAAAGCCAATTTTAGGGTCACAACTTCCAAAGTAGGAATGATAAAATTGAAACCCAGACTTGCGGCCAGTCCCTTCATTGTTGTTGTGGTTGGATTGAAGGTGAAGAAGTAGCCAAAAGATGACCACTTGTTACACCTGGACTCAGCAGAAAGTTTCAGCATTATGTGTCAATGTTCCTTGAAGGTTCTGTCATGTGGGCTTCCAGTTTTGATCACAGGTAGATCCAGGATGGTGCTCATGCACTACAGGAAGGTCAGACAATTTGTTTGCATTAAATAGGTGATTGTTGCTCTTATAATTGCACGTTGAATCTTTCTGCGGCAGGGTTGGCGATTTTTTTGATTTTTAAAAAATCAAAAAAATCAAAAATCAATGATTTATTTGATTTTTTCATGATTTTTTTGATTTATTTGATTTTTTTGATTTTTTCAACTTTTTTGTCTATTTTAAGTGTTTTTTTATGTTGCAGTTAGCCTACTAACAATAACAGTATATGGATCATACTGGATGGCTAAAAAGGGCACTTATTGCCTTCAATAATGGCCAACAGGCCAAGGTGGTGTTTACCACTTAGGGATTTTTGGGTAAACAATTATTGGTAAGTCTATTCATAGGTCACCTGATTTGAGCATTTGCAATTTCTTTCTTTGGGGACATCTAAAAGAAAGGGGTTCAGAAGTCGCCCTCACACCCTACCACAGCTAAGGGAATGGATTATTGCAGCAGAGATTATGGCCATACCTCGCCATATGTGTGAACGTGCTGTAGGAAACTTCCCAGAACAACTCCAACAGTGTGATGCAGCTAACAAACGCCATTTTCCTGATATTGTTTTCAAAACATAAGTATTTTAAATGGTATGTTATGCTAATGTTGAGGAAAATAAACTTTTTTCTTTATGTATCTTCATTACTCTTTTATTTTGCCCCAAAACTGTTCAATCAGTTCTGCCCCACCCTGTATAAGCTAGCTAACACATTTAAATTGTATATTGTAATCAATATATAACAAATAGTCAAATAGGTAAAGACTACTTATAGCCTTATAAGAATTAGCTAAGCTGCTAGCTACGTACAATGTACTGCACACTTGGTGCCTCTG